TGACTTGTGAGAGTTTGGTCCACCAGGCTGTTGCTTGGAGCGGCCCGAGGCCAGGCTTGACTTGTGAGAGTTTGGTCCACCAGGCTGTTGCTTGGAGCGGCCCGAGGCCAGGCTTGACTTGTGAGAGTTTGGTCCACCAGGCTGTTGCTTGGAGCGGCCCGAGGCCAGGCTTGACTTGTGAGAGTTTGGTCCACCAGGCTGTTGCTTGGAGCGGCCCGAGGCCAGGCTTGACTTGTGAGAGTTTGGTCCACCAGGCTGTTGCTTGGAGCGGCCCGAGGCCAGGCTTGACTTGTGAGAGTTTGGTCCACCAGGCTGTTGCTTGGAGCGGCCCGAGGCCAGGCTTGACTTGTGAGAGTTTGGTCCACCAGGCTGTTGCTTGGAGCGGCCCGAGGCCAGGCTTGACTTGTGAGAGTTTGGTCCACCAGGCTGTTGCTTGGAGCGGCCCGAGGCCAGGCTTGACTTGTGAGAGTTTGGTCCACCAGGCTGTTGCTTGGAGCGGCCCGAGGCCAGGCTTGACTTGTGAGAGTTTGGTCCACCAGGCTGTTGCTTGGAGCGGCCCGAGGCCAGGCTTGACTTGTGAGAGTTTGGTCCACCAGGCTGTTGCTTGGAGCGGCCCGAGGCCAGGCTTGACTTGTGAGAGTTTGGTCCACCAGGCTGTTGCTTGGAGCGGCCCGCAGGCCAGGCTTGACTTGTGAGAGTTTGGTCCACCAGGCTGTTGCTTGGAGCGGCCCGAGGCCAGGCTTGACTTGTGAGAGTTTGGTCCACCAGGCTGTTGCTTGGAGCGGCCCGAGGCCAGGCTTGACTTGTGAGAGTTTGGTCCACCAGGCTGTTGCTTGGAGCGGCCCGAGGCCAGGCTTGACTTGTGAGAGTTTGGTCCACCAGGCTGTTGCTTGGAGCGGCCCGCAGGCCAGGCTTGACTTGTGAGAGTTTGGTCCACCAGGCTGTTGCTTGGAGCGGCCCGAGGCCAGGCTTGACTTGTGAGAGTTTGGTCCACCAGGCTGTTGCTTGGAGCGGCCCGAGGCCAGGCTTGACTTGTGAGAGTTTGGTCCACCAGGCTTTTGCTTGGAGCGGCCCGCAGGCCAGGCTTGACTTGTGAGAGTTTGGTCCACCAGGCTGCTGCTTGGAGCGGCCCGAGGCCAGGCTGGACTTGTGAGAGTTTGGTCCACCAGGCTGTTGCTTGGAGCGGCCCGAGGCCAGGCTTGACTTGTGAGAGTTTGGTCCACCAGGCTGTTGCTTGGAGCGGCCCGAGGCCAGGCTTGACTTGTGAGAGTTTGGTCCACCAGACTGTTGCTTGGAGCGGCCCGAGGCCAGGCTTGACTTGTGAGAGTTTGGCCCACCAGGCTGTTGCTTGGAGCGGTCCGAGGCCAGGCTTGACTTGTGAGAGTTTGGTCCACCAGGCTGTTGCTTGGAGCGGCCCGCAGGCCCACATACCGACCACAGCCCAGTTGGTCCGGCACTTCTTCAGAAAATAGTCTAGTTTTCTCTTGTACTTCTTCCATAAACATGCAACCCGTTCTCGCAAATTCGTAAAGTCAATATTGACTTATTAACTACGTGCATAGGTGATATACTAAACATAATAGATACCCTTAAAAAGATTCATAGAAAACACCGACCTTACCTAACCTTGTTAGTATCTTAAGATAAGCATCTTATTCCTTCGTAATTACAATTATTACTTAACCTATACCTATTATAGGTTAGGTAATAATTGTAATTACGAAGCAATAAGATACTTATCTTAAGATACTAACAAGGTTAGGTAAGGTCGGTGTTTTCTATGAATCTTTTAAGGGTATCTATTATGTTTAGTATATCACCTATGCACATATTTAATAAGTCAATATTGACTTTACGAATTTGCGAGAACGGGTTGCAACATCTGCAACCGATGTAGATTTAAACAAATGTAAACTGCGTCGGTTGAACAACTGCAACACCTCTCTGAGGACGCGAAAGACTTCAAGAAATTAGATAAAATTCTTATCACAAACTTGTCATAAATATTTTAAAACTGCATTAAAACTGATAACACATTATTTTTTTGCCACGCATCCCAATTTTGCCGACCTAACGTTGCAGATATATGCCGATATATTGTTGCTCTTGAACAATATATTGTAGAATATAACCGGAATCTTGCCAGTTCCCCCCCCCCCTTCCCAGGGATGAGATATGCTGAACTCACTAAATGCTATATGAATACTGGAACACTTTATGATATGTTGGACTTGTGCCCAAGATTGACTATGTAACGCATCAGTTATACAATGTGTGTGATGTTACTATAACTTGATGTGTGTAGTGGCAGCCTAGCCCACCGCCGCCCACTGTTGGGTCTGGGGTGCCCACCGCCGCCCACTGTTGGGTCTGGGGTGCCCACCGCCGCCCACTGTTGGGTCTGGGGTGCCCACTACTGGGCCTGGGGTGCCCACCGCCGCCCACTACTGGACCTGGGGTGCCCACCGCCGCCCACTACTGGACCTGGGGTGCCCACCGCCGCCCACTACTGGACCTGGGGTGCCCACCGCCGCCCACTACTGGACCTGGGGTGCCCACCGCCGCCCACTGTTGGGTCTGGGGTGCCCACCGCCGCCCACTACTGGACCTGGGGTGCCCACCGCCGCCCACTACTGGACCTGGGGTGCCCACTGCCGCCCACTGTTGGGTCTGGGGTGCCCACCGCCGCCCACTACTGGACCTGGGGTGCCCACCGCCGCCCACTGTTGGGTCTAAGGTGCCCACCGCCGCCCACTACTGGACCTGGGGTGCCCACCGCCGCCCACTGTTGGGTCTGGGGTGCCCACCGCCGCCCACTGTTGGGTCTGGGATGCCCACCGCCGCCCACTACGGACCTGGGGTGCCCACCGCCGCCCACTACTGGACCTGGGGTGCCCACCGCCGCCCACTACTGGACCTGGGGTGCCACTGCCGCCCACTACTGGACCTGGGGTGCCCACCACCGCCCACTACTGGACCTGGGGTGCCCACCGCCGCCCACTACTGGACCTGGGGTGCCCACCACCGCCCACTACTGGACCTGGGGTGCCCACCACCGCCCACTGTTGGGTCTGGGGTGTCCACCGCCACCCACTACTGGACCTGGGGTGCCACCGCCGCCCACTACTGGACCTGGGGTGCCCACCGCCGCCCACTACTGGATCTGGGGTGCCACTGCCGCCCACTACTGGACCTGGGGTGCCCACCACCGCCCACTACTGGACCTGGGGTGCCCACCGCCGCCCACTGTTGGGTCTGGGGTGTCCACCGCCGCCCACTACTGGACCTGGGGTGCCCACCGCCGCCCACTGTTGGGTCTGGGGTGCCCACCGCCGCCCACTGTTGGGTCTGGGATGCCCACCGCCGCCCACTACTGGACCTGGGGTGCCCACCGCCGCCCACTACTGGACCTGGGGTGCCCACCGCCGCCCACTACTGGACCTGGGGTGCCACTGCCGCCCACTACTGACCTGGGGTGCCCACCACCGCCCACTACTGGACCTGGGGTGCCCACCACCGCCCACTACTGGACCTGGGGTGCCCACCACCGCCCATACTGGACCTGGGGTGCCCACCGCCGCCCACTACTGGACCTGGGGTGCCCACTGCCGCTCACTACTGGACCTGGGGTGCCCACCACCGCCCACTACTGGACCTGGGGTGCCCACCGCCGCCCACTACTGAACCTGGGGTGCATAATAAGCAAATGAAAGCTGCATGAAACTAGTTCACCGCAGATATAAATAAAACGGCCTAGCTTATAGTGGGGAAAGGGAGGTATTGGGCTGTGTCCGGATCTCTCTTCCCCCCTCCCCACAATCCCCCTGCTCTTCCCCCTCCCCACAACCCCCTGCTCTTCCCATCTCCCATCTCCTGGATGGGGTTCTGGGAGTTGTTCTACTCCCCACCTACCCTGACCGCTCTGCTGGTTCAACTGTAAGCCTATCTAGGAGGCTCGTATGACCCACAATGGTCTGCTTGACTTATGGGTTCATACATGTCTGTTTCAGTCCAGCAGAAATAAGCCCAACCATTTGGGCTGGACGGTAGAGTGACGGTCTCGCTCCATGCAGGTCGGCGTTCAATCTCCCGACTGTCCAAGTGATTGTGCACCATTCCTTTCCCCCCCCGTCCCATCCCAATCCTTTTCCTGATCCCTTCCAAGTGCTATACAGTCGTAATGACTTAGCTCTTTCCACCCTGATAATTCCCTCGTTCCCAACAGGAATAAACCGATGAAATAAATTCAGTCCACTGAAGCTGTGTGAAGCTCACCACGACGCAGTTTCCCAAGCTTCACCTCTCTGCCAGCCGTCTGGAGGGACTTTGCAAGCTTCAAGAGTCCCAGGTCAAAGACATGACAATCTTGAGATGAGAGAGCAATACATTTGTGTTAAAGCCTTAATCTTGCACGAGCACTTGAGCGAGTAGTCGACATTACTGTCCACCACTCACGTACAAGTGCAACATTATTCAACGGGTTTTCTTCCTATTGGGGAGTGTTGTACATGCTGCTATGGCGGTGTGTCCACTCACAGGATGAGTGGCGCTGCCCAATACTGTCACTATGGCGGTGTGTCCACTCACAGGATGAGTGGCGCTGCCCAATACTGTCACTATGGCGGTGTGTCCACTCACAGGATGAGTGACGCTGCCCAATACTGTCACTATGGCGGTGTGTCCACTCACAGGATGAGTGGCGCTGCCCAATACTGTCACTATGGCGGTGTGTCCACTCACAGGATTAGTGGCGCTGCCCAATACTGTCACTATGGCGGTGTGTCCACTCACAGGATGAGTGGCGCTGCCCAATACTGTCACTATGGCGGTGTGTCCACTCACAGGATGAGTGACGCTGCCCAATACTGTCACTATGGCGGTGTGTCCACTCACAGGATGAGTGACGCTGCCCAATACTGTCACTATGGCGGTGTGTCCACTCACAGGATGAGTGGCGCTGCCCAATACTGTCACTATGGCGGTGTGTCCACTCACAGGATTAGTGGCGCTGCCCAATACTGTCACTATGGCGGTGTGTTCACTCACAGGATTAGTGGCGCTGCCCAATACTGTCACTATGGCGGTGTGTCCACTCACAGGATGAGTGACGCTGCCCAATACTGTCACTATGGCGGTGTGTCCACTCACAGGATGAGTGGCGCTGCCCAATACTGTCACTATGGCGGTGTGTCCACTCACAGGATGAGTGGCGCTGCCCAATACTGTCACTATGGCGGTGTGTCCACTCACAGGATTAGTGGCGCTGCCCAATACTGTCACTATGGCGGTGTGTTCACTCACAGGATTAGTGGCGCTGCCCAATACTGTCACTATGGCGGTGTGTCCACTCACAGGATTAGTGGCGCTGCCCAATACTGTCACTATGGCGGTGTGTTCACTCACAGGATTAGTGGCGCTGCCCAATACTGTCACTATGGCGGTGTGTCCACTCACAGGATGAGTGACGCTGCCCAATACTGTCACTATGGCGGTGTGTCCACTCACAGGATGAGTGACGCTGCCCAATACTGTCACTATGGCGGTGTGTCCACTCACAGGATGAGTGGCGCTGCCCAATACTGTCACTATGGCGGTGTGTCCACTCACAGGATTAGTGGCGCTGCCCAATACTGTCACTATGGCGGTGTGTTCACTCACAGGATTAGTGGCGCTGCCCAATACTGTCACTATGGCGGTGTGTCCACTCACAGGATTAGTGGCGCTGCCCAATACTGTCACTATGGCGGTGTGTTCACTCACAGGATTAGTGGCGCTGCCCAATACTGTCACTATGGCGGTGTGTCCACTCACAGGATGAGTGACGCTGCCCAATACTGTCACTATGGCGGTGTGTCCACTCACAGGATGAGTGGACGCTGCCCAATACTGTCACTATGGCGGTGTGTCCACTCACAGGATGAGTGGCGCTGCCCAATACTGTCACTATGGCGGTGTGTCCACTCACAGGATTAGTGGCGCTGCCCAATACTGTCACTATGGCGGTGTGTTCACTCACAGGATTAGTGGCGCTGCCCAATACTGTCACTATGGCGGTGTGTCCACTCACAGGATGAGTGGCGCTGCCCAATACTGTCACTATGGCGGTGTGTCCACTCACAGGATGAGTGGCGCTGCCCAATACTGTCACTATGGCGGTGTGTCCACTCACAGGATGAGTGGCGCTGCCCAATACTGTCACTATGGCGGTGTGTCCACTCACAGGATGGGTGCGCTGCCCAATAAACTCGCCCCTCGGGGCAAAATTTAAAATTTAATTAAGTGCATGTATGTATCCTGTGTGTACATATACCCTGTGTGTATCCTGCGTGTGAAGCAGGTCAATGATGATCCACCACTGAGCAATATGGAGACAGTAGGGGATGTTTCCATGGTAACAGCTACCATCTATTGAACAGTTCATCAACAGCTGCATCGTCCTCCTCCCTTACATCTGCTTGACCACATCCGACATCTCATGGCGATTATGTACATGCTTAACTACCCGATTTACATATACGTAAAGGGACAAATTCCTGTTAAAAAGTCCCTTGAGCCAAGTCCAGATGACTACTGATGAAGCTGATGAATATGCAGAGCAAACTGATGACTTGAGTAGGTTAGGGTGGTATAAAATACCTTGTATGTTACAAGATCAGAGTTCGATCCCCGATGTTCCTCGTATGCTTTCAAGTGCTACAACAATAGTATCAATAACCTTATTTGTGTCCACTTGACACACCTTCCAGGAGGTTTGCTTCCCCATAACGACGGTTCCCACAGTGCCAAGTGCCAGTGGCCTAGTGAGAGTGCCAAGCTGGCCTAGGTAACACATGGCCCCGGGCCCATACACTGATGGGTGCCAACTGGGCTCCTCCCCTCCCCGCACACACGCACAACCCCCCCCCCCACACAACACACACCACACAACCCCCCCCCACACACACACACCCACACAAACCCCCCCCCCCCACACACACACCCACCCACACACACACCCACACACACACACACACACACACACACACACACACACACACCACAACACACCCCCCCCCACACACACACACACCCCACACCACACACACCAGAGTAACCGTTTTTCAGGCCAAACAATATGTTCACTCACAGGATGAGTGACGTTGCCCAATAAAATCGTCCTTTCGGGAAAAATTTAAGGATAACTGAGCTCTCGCAATGACATTTTTCACCCTTCCAGCCCCACGCCCATTCCCCCCCCCCCATTCCACGGGTACACCGGTGCCCCTCTACCCATTCCTGGGACACACCGGTGCCCCTCTACCCATTCCTGGGGCACACCACATGCCCAGTGTTTATCTTCACTAGCCAATTGGTCTATACCCACCACCCGCTGTAAACTGTTTACATGTAAATGCATTGTGTTAACAGTTTTTGTGCAGCTGGACCTCCCGCACCCTGTTTGAAGCGCAGGGGGGGGGGGGGGGGGTTAGCTGAAGGTGACTGGGTTGACCTGAATTGGGG